TCTTAACTTAGCCCTGATGGATTGTGGGAGGGGGAATGGGACAGTGAACGCAGCCCCAGCCTCATTCAGAACTTACGTAAGCGCGCCAAAGGGCCCTGGAGGAGGCGTCCCACCGGAGCAGGTTTAGTTCAGATCAGAGAAATGGGTTCGTCCGAGAAAGAGAAATGAGAAGAGACCCATTTGAGAGATTTCATCCTATGATTATACATCGCACGGCTGCAGGGGTCAAAGGTCGTGGGAATGTGAATTATCAGGCTGAAGTTGAGGGATTTGGCCACAGTGGTGTGTGTGTGTGTGTGTGTGTGTGTGTGTATATATATGTAGGAAACGTATTTGAGACTAATGATGAGAGCGTGTTGTAAACGTGCACAGCAGAGCAGATTGATATGATTGGCTGTCAGTTGGCCCATTAAACCTTGACCTGAATACCAGTGGATGTGACCTGGGAGGAGGTCAAAGGGTCAAGATGCATGTGGCTTAAAGTGGCTTAAAGTGGCTGGAGGTCACTGTGTGTGTGCTTGTAAGGGCAGTTACTGTAGGCTGACCTATATGCATATATAGTATCCAATTTCTTCTGAAGACGACACGCCACAGACACGAAAAACCAAGACGAAGCATGGCTTAAGATGAACAATGTTTAAACTTATCTAATAAAATATAATTTATATTCTAGTATGACATTCCTTCTGTGTTTCCTTGCTGAGCTGCAGTGGAGGGAAAGTAATTGTGGTAGATACCTGGTGTGTTTATGTAAAAGTACCAATACATTATTGCTCCAAAACAATAGAAAGTCCTGAGTTCAAAATCCTACATAAGTACTGAAGTATCAGCAGCAAAATGTGCTTAATGTTACGTATGGCAGTATATTACGTTAGGTGCATTAATGTGTAAGCAGCATTTCACTGTTGCAGCTGGTTGAGAATGTTTTAACATCTTGTTATTAATGGGAGAGGAAGAGGAAGAAAAACTTTGCCTGTTTGGATCTTTAACAGTTAATTAAATGACACCATCAGAGTTTAGAGTCAGTGAAACATGATGAAGCAGCTTTCAGTTCATTTTCAGGTCATCCGAGAACTAAAGCAGAATAAAGGTCAGCTCCAACTTTCTGTTTGTTTAAATCTTTTCTGTTTGCAGCTGTATGTCATCAAGTTAAATTGACTATTATTCATATCATACACTGCACTGTAATTTTTTATTCTCCTGTTTTGTCAGCTCTATTTTATTTTTATCTTCTATTTCATAATAACCTTTTAAATCCAATAAAAATGTGCCTTGTGTTTCTTCTCTTAAGGCCTTTTGTGTTTTATGTAAAGCACTTGTTGCCTTGTTGCTGAAAGGTTGTTGTGTTTAAGGGACTGCGAACAACATACAGACATCTGAAACATAACAGCCAAATGGTTGGTTCAATCTTAAAAAATATCATGTTTTTTATGTAATATCTCAACCTTTATTATTAATTACTTTCTGCCACTGGATCATCCGAGTCCTTCCCTCGGGGCTTGGGGCATGGCTGAGAGTTGGGACTGCTTTGTTGTGACATCACAAAGTTCAGGAAGTCCTTACAGCTGGTTTTAAGGCTGAAGTTTCTGAATACAGGCTGTGTGCATTTCTCTGTGGACTGAGCACTTTGATACTTTCACAGTATTAATATAGAACCTAGACCTGCTTTATAATCAAAGAAGGCACGGACATCTACTTGGGACCTTCAGAGTAACGGAAAGTCTTCTGCACCTTGTAGCACACAACATTTTGTTTTTATATATAATAAAATAAATGTTTCAGAAAGAAGAGAATTGTCTCTCTCCTAACTCCTTCTTTACTCCTCTAAACTGAGATTGGTTTTCTATGTATTTTGTATTCCAGACCAGAAACCCTTTTGTGTCAAGAAATACGTCAATTAAAGTAAATTTCATTACAGAGTAAAGACTTAATCCACTGTTGTCCTCGCAGATATTTCTTTACCTCATACTCAGCCAGCTTTAGCTTCATTTGGATTAACATTTGTTTTTTGGGAAACTTAACATGAAGAAGCAGCTATAACAAGCTCATGAAATAAGACAATATCAAAATAGAAACAAGTTTAAACACAATTAAAAGCCAGAGAATAAAAGTGGGTCTTCAGGTGCATCAAGCATCAACAACTTGAGTCTGTTTAATGGTCCGGAGCCGAGGAGCCACTACAGAGAAACCCTGTCCCTGAGTCCCTGACTTTTTCTTTCTTTCCGCGAACATGGTCTTAAAACCCAGGAACTGCATCCGTGTTCCCAAACTTTATCTTTCCAGTGTTTCACTATCAGAACAAACAAAAGACACAAAACAAACCCAGTTTAGTTTCACAACCACAGTTTCTCCACCTGAGCACTTTCACTTCAGACTGAGACACGTCCCAATCCTTCAGATTGAGATGTCATGACCTGACACTGTCCAAGTTCAAATTTGTTGTCCATTTGTAGGCATGAAAGCAACTTACGCAGAACACAGGGAAGTTCCAGATATAAATATCACAACTACACTGCTATTGTCTTTTCTTTCAAAGCTGCCCTTTGTTCACAGGAACCAGTTTGTCTCTGAATAAACCCCTTTAAGTAAACAGGAATTATGTTTTTGGGAAAAGGTTGGAGAGAGGTCAGAGTTTTTTTACAGTGCAAATTCAGACTGATGCAACAAAGTCAGGTCACTCATAGTTTAATGTATAAATCTTTAATATTAAACACTTTCTGAAAATAAGTCACAATCCCTTCAAAGCAAACAGATGAAAATAGACTGAGATATTCATTCACTAAAAGCTTTTGATAATTTATATTGTTTTAGAAAAAAATTGCAAAGTCATAGTGATTATATGGTCTGTGTATGTGTGTGTGTGTGTGTGTGTGTGTGTGTGTGTGTGTGTGTGTGTGTGTGTTTTCCCTCCATTTGCAGCCTGGTGTCATAAGGTTCAGGCTGAAACTGAAAGCCAGCACAAACACACAGTGAGCAGTTATATTTAGTCTCAGTCCAGATGCTGTAAAATGCTGAAAGAATTCAATGAAACCAGCTGGGATGCAGGATTTTTAAGATCTGCACCATTTAACCCTTGTATTATGTTCACTTTTTGGACCATTTGGTACTGTTCGGGTCAAATTGACCCCCGGTTTGACACTATTGGGGTTTTAAAAGCACTACAGAAATAAAAATAAAATACATAAAAATCCTTTACATATATTGTCTTTAACTCAATTCCAAACAATATAGATAACATTTGTGATTCATGTTTGAAATTAATCTTTGCTAGATCACATTTAACAATGAAAGTGTCATTCATTTTGTGATAAAGTTAAAATATGTGTAACAAAATATACTATACTAAAGACTTTCATGATCTGTAGACACCTGCAAGGATGACGATCCAAAAAAAGGCATGTAAGTCCAATGTTGTGCCAGTTCACACTTGAAAAGAACTAGTTCAAAGTTCAGTTCATACAAATGAAAATTAACTAGTTCACGTTCATAGTTTTTTTTTTTTTTTTTTTTTTTTTTTTTTTTAATTTTGAACTAAGTTCATGGTTTCACGTTCATTTGTTGTTTTTTTAAAATAAAGAAATGAAGGCCGATATTCTTTTTCAATAGAACCTCTTTCTACCCATCCATCACCAGCCCCGAATCATAGCCACTCACAAACTAAATGAATTACTGTATACCACTGAAAAATCACAGACATGAGTTACATTTAAAATCCGTAAATAAATATAACCCGTCTGAGTCTTGACTTGTTTGTTCATAAAACTGCTTCAAGTGCTCAAACAAACTGGTTCAGCAGTAGTAAATTTGTGGGGAATTGTAGCATGTATACTCAATGATATTTATTTCTTTTACAAATTTTTTACAGAAAATAAGCTAGATTGAAAGTTTCAGGTTGAAACTGTTTTTTCTTGTATCATTTTTCTTTCAGTTAAAATATAAAACGGGTCAATTTGACCCAAACACCACCAAGGGTTAAATCAGTTTTGGAAAAAGTGGCATAAGAACGCTGAGTTTATTTTAATTTACCTTATCAAGGGAGTCTAGTTCTCCCTCAACATTTCTCGACAAAAGTCTTCATTACACTTACTGTAAGCTAAAACATATTTGGTCAATCTGGGCTTTATAGCGTTGAAACCATATCACTACGTAAGATTATGGCTCAACAGGAGAGAGTCCAGTGTGAGGAAGCAAAGCAGAGCGTGTGCTGCAGCGGCACGTAGACGTATACTTCAACTTAAGGTGCGCAGATATGAAGAAAATAATGTTTTTGTGTCAGACAAATATCTCATATCATGTTATATCAGAATAAAACAGTAAACTGTCTCATCATAATTATCATTATCCTGAAAAAAAGTTAAATTAATAATATACTATACTATACTATAATAATGATACAAACAACCGCCACCTCTATTCAGCTGCTAATAACCTAATAACGAAATTTCCAATTTAGAAAAGACAATAAACAATAGATCGGTGCAGCAAAACAGGAAATAGTCTAAGAGGGCAAAATAATAAATATGATACAATAAGAAATTATGTAAATTACATTCAAAAGCTGTTTACATTGTAAGCTTACATGACTCATGCGACCACTGAAACTCTTTATAAAACAATGAAAAACAATAAAAATAATCAGTTAACATATAGATACCAATAATTCATATATGGAATATTAATAATGCTGCTGTGATATAAATGTAATAAACACAACAAAGCGACTGATTTAAAAAGGAACTATGGAGCTACTGCGCTAAATACCTTTTACTATATTAACAATGGACCTCATGTGAAATTATCATCCTAATAAATAGTTTGCCACAAGGAGGCACTGTGTGTGTGTGTATGTGTGTGTGTGTGTGTGTGTGTGTGTGTGTGTGTGTGTGTGTGTGTGTGTGTGTGTGTGTGTGTGCGGTTGCCTGTGTGCGCGTGTGTGTTTCGTCACCGCAGTCACGTTGCTTCCTGGCCGGGCGGGCGGAGTTAAATAGCGGATGTGTGCCGCAGACCGGCAGATTAGCCCCGGCTCAACGTGCCCTGTAGACACTCTGACTCTGAACAGCCCGGCTCACTCACTGCAGCTGAACGGACGAGGTTCCTGCTCGTACAGCCACCGGCTCTTTTTTGGTTGTTTCACCCGGAATACCAGCGGCTCGGTTCCCGTGTACTGTCGCTTCTTCGGTACCTATAAGGAATGCCCAGAGAGCTGACCCAGAACAGGATCCAAAAGATCTGGGTTCCCACCAAAGATGACAAGCCGTCGCCCCGGAGAGGTACCTGCTACATTTCTATCATATCCTTATAGTTTTATTGTGTTTTTTAGTTGTAATTTTTTTTTTTTTACATGGACTTAAAGTGTTGATAATAACAGTACAGTGAACGGCTTCTTTTATCGTTACCTCTAAGTAGGCTACTTTTGTTCCCGTCATACACCTGTACAGGAACTAATCATTGTTACTATGGAAACAAAATAGATAGATTTTAAATGGACATTTTCTCTTCAGCCTTTCTCTAATGTTTCCACCGTCAGCTTTAGTTCTGCTGCCATGTGTAGCCGGTCTCTTCACTTATCAATTCATTCACTGAGCGGTGGTCTTCATCAGCACGCGCGGCACGTCCCAGCCCTTCAACTGGAGCATGACGAAGCTCCGGTCGCCATGGTTACCTCCTCTCTTTCTCTCTCTCTCTCTCTCTGTGATGCTCTCTAATTGGTCGGTCGGTAGCGCGTGTGCATGGGGCGACCCCGTCATCTGGCTGTACACCAAGAGAGAAAACAAGGGTTTTAACTTCTAATGACTTTAATGTCACTCAGCAGCTTCCTGCTGTATTTTTGCGTTTGGAGAATTTCCATGGCTGCTGATAATGACTCAAATAACCAAACAAATTTGAATGAAAATGAAGCAGCTCTGAGCTCCATCTCTCCCTGCTCCCTCTCCTCTCAGATTCTGTTGACTGTGTTTTCAGATGTTGAAGCATCTTCAGAAAAAATATGTAAGAGGAAGATAATTGAAAATGTTTTTATTCAGCTGGAGCAGCAGCACATCTGGATTCATCCTCTTCTGCTGCTTAAGAGTAAACAAAGCATATATGAGTCAAGGCTGCGAAAAGTATGGAGTTGGGATGTGGCTGAAGTGAGATGGAGCTGGATGAGAAGATGATGAACCAGATGTCTGATCATCGACTTAGAGTTAGATCCGTTTTTCCATTGAAGCAACGTGGCTCCTTGTGTTATGGAAACAAGATTAGCAACCAGGGAGGAAGCGTGAATTAGAGCTCTTAGTTAGTGTCAGGTAATGAGTGATCAGCATTGCTGCTGCTTATGACTCCAGTGAAGGAGAAGTAAAAATAACCACATCTGAAGAACTTTAGAAGCTGTATCAGATATGAATAAGAAAAGAAAAATCAAAGCAGACGTCCATAGGAGATTCTTTGCTTTTAATTAAACTGAGTCTTCACTACTAATTTGACACACCTACAGAACATATTGTTCATGCAGAATCAACCTCCTGCATTCCTCTGCCTACTCACCCAGTGCAGGCGTAAGGGGTGGGGTTACTGTGTATTTTGTCAAGTGAAAACAAGCCATGCTGGCTCATAGTGCGCTGAAGTCGGTTGGATGTGCAGCGACGTGGAAGTAAAGGGCGAGTCTGGCAAGTGCAGACAGCCATGTGCTCGCTGGGAGTGTGTCAGTGTGGAGGGAAACACAGATTATAGGTTAGTGGTTTCAATAAGTAAATTCAGGCAGGTTGCAGCTCTGGGTGAGCAGTTGTTATTAGTGCCGGATCTGTGGCTGCTGGTGGACTCAAGATGTTAGTTACTGTATGTTCTTCTTGTGTTCAAAACCTAATGCCTTATTAATTAAGATATTCACTTTTTGTTAGTTTTGTAAACAGTCACAGTTGTCATGACATATTCCCCCCACTTATCCCTCTCTGCAGCAGCTGGCGCACCCCACTTCGCCAACCCTCCCACCGTCATCGTGATGGTGGGTCTGCCGGCTCGAGGCAAGACGTACATGTCCAAGAAACTCACCCGCTACCTCAACTGGATCGGCATGCCCACCAAAGGTACACGACGCACACACATTTAAATTCTAGCAGAGGATGTTCAGTATGTTCCCTAAACGCATCAAGTTTCTGTCTCCAGGACGTCATGTTCACACTTGTGTCTCTTTTCCTGTGTTTGTGTTGTAGTTTTCAACGTGGGAGAGTATCGCAGGGAGGCGGTAAAGAATTACAGCTCCTATGACTTCTTCAAGCCTGATAATGAGTGTGCTGTGAAAATCAGGCAGTAAGTCCCACACACACACACACACACACACACACATGCACAGACACACACACACACACACACACACACACACTATGCAAGTAGTGTAGCAGTATTTTTTAACGGCAACAAAAAAATGTCCTTTGTTCTTCAGGCAGTGTGCCTTAGCAGCCTTGAGGGATGTCAAGTCCTATTTGAAAGATGAGGGAGGCCAAGTGGCGGTGAGTTTCCCATCATGCATCATGTTTCTAAAATGCTCCTCATGTTGATGAAACACAGGTGAACCTTTACTCCTAAAACCTCTCGTCTTACAAAGCCCCATTGTATTTCTTGTAGGTCTTTGATGCCACAAACACAACAAGAGAAAGGCGAGACATGATCCTCAAGTTCGGCAACGAGAACGGCTTCAAGGTCAGTGTTGCTATGATGAATTGAGGAGTCAAGGTATGACATCATTGGTAATCCAGTATGACTTTTAACAACTTTCTCTCTTCATGTCCAGACCTTCTTCATTGAGTCTGTGTGTGACGATCCCAACGTCATTGCCTCAAACATCATGGTGAGTCAAACATGACATGACAGCGCATCCTCGTCTTGCGTTAAAAGACTTAAAAATGTTAACAGCTCTCTGGCATCAGGCGTGTACTTTGCCGTCTGACCGTCTTCCTCCCTGTGCAGGAAGTGAAGGTGTCGTGTCCGGACTACCGGGATTGCAACAAGACAGACGCCATGCTTGATTTCCAGAGGAGAATTGAATGCTACAAAACTAGCTACCAACCTCTGGACCCCGATCATCACGACAGGTAAGTCGTCAGCATTGATTTAATCGAAACATCTGTGGTGTCCAATATAAAGTGTAATGTCAATCATCTCATCCTCTTTGCTGCTTTCCTTCAGGGATCTCTCATTCATCAAGGTGATTGACGTAGGTCGGCGGTTCCTCGTCAACCGGATCCAGGATCACATCCAGAGTAAGATCGTCTACTACCTGATGAACATCCACGTTCAGCCCCGAACCATCTACCTGTGTCGGCACGGAGAGAGCACCGACAACCTGGAGGGACGGCTCGGCGGCGACTCCGGCCTCTCGCCGCGGGGCAAACAGGTACGAACAACCACAGGCAGGTTGCGTGGAACAGATGATGAAAGTCTGTGGATGATCATCTTCAGGGGTTAAATACCGTTTCCTTGCTGCTGTAGTTCTCAGCTGCCCTGGCTCGGTTTGTGGAGGAGCAGCAGCTGAAGGATCTGAAGGTTTGGACCAGCCAGCTGTGTCGCAGCATCCAGACCGTCGAGCACCTGGGGATCCCCTATGAACAGTGGAAGGCTCTTAATGAGATTGATGCTGTGAGTGTCACTGTAACACACACTATTAAACCACACCACACAACTCTTATTTGTTGTTGACAGACTGAAATATAATAATAATATAATGTATATTTGTGTTTTTTTTTTAGGGAATTTGTGAGGAGATGACGTACGATGAGGTGAAGGAGAAATTCCCAGAGGAGTTTTTGTTGAGAGATGAAGATAAATTCTACTACCGTTATCCTGCTGGAGAGGTACACACACAGTCTACACCCATCAGACACCTTCATATTCCCAATCTACATAACATTTAGTTTAATTTAGGTCACCTGCTGTAGTTTAAAGGTCCCATATTTTACACTTCTCCTGTGTTTTATTTGAAGTGTTGATCCATAAAAAGATATATTTGTGGTTTTAAAAACCAAAAACCATCTCAGTGTAGTTTTACATCTCCTCTCTTAGGCTTCTCTCTGGAGCTCTAGTAACAACAGGTCGGTGAGCCTGTTGTGACATCACAAAGATACAGAAGGCCTGTCGGCTGGTTTTAAGGCTCAGTTTCTGAATACTGGCTGTGTGCATTTCTCTGTGGACTGAGGCTTTGATACTTTCACAGTATTAATATAGAACATAGACCTGCTTTATAATCAAACAACACATGGACATCTACCTTTATACAATATCGGACCTTTAAAAATCAGCAAAAGGAGATTAACAATCATGATCCAAACGTCTAGCAAAATAATCCAGATCCAGATTTTAATCATAGGCATTCAACCCATTCAAAGCTATTTGATAGATCTACGATCAACATAACAAACATTAATAAACATCTCTCCCTTCCTGACTGCAGTCCTACCAGGACTTGGTCCAGCGGGTGGAGCCGGTCATCATGGAGCTGGAGAGGCAAGAGAACGTCCTGGTTATTTGCCACCAGGCCGTCATGCGCTGCCTGCTGGCCTACTTCCTGGATAAGAGTGCAGGTGGGTACTACAGCTCCCAGAAGCCCACTGATTTAGTGTGACAATCTTTTAAAGGATGAGTTACAATCCTTTCAATATGCTGCATCTTTACTCATATCCATGTTTTCCTGCGATCCATTGTTCCAGATGAGATGCCGTACCTGAAGTGTCCCCTCCACACAGTGCTGAAGCTAACGCCGGTCGCCTACGGGTGCAAAGTGGAGTCCATATGTTTGAATGTGGAGGCAGTGAACACCCACAGAGACAGACCGGAGGTAATGATCGATGAAGTGATTACTGGGAGCTTTCTGCTTGTCATTGCAGCAGGGAATGTTGCAAAGAACTGGCTGTATCTTGATTGATTTCTGACTCTAAGTCTCGTATGTGTAACCTTCGTTTCCTGTGCAGGAGGTGAAGAGGGGTCCTGGCACCTTGATCAGGAGGAACAGTGTGACTCCCCTGACCAGCCCCGAGTCGAACATCAAGAAACCTCGCATCGATGACCTGGACGAGGCACCAATCCGGGAGCTGCCTCCATCTGTTGCATCACTGGCGCTCTGCAGCCCATCACACCTCCCTCTCGCCCTGGCTGGACAGGTGGGTTTATGGAAGACACACTTTTTCAAGCACTAAACATTTCTGGGCTTCTGAAGACCAGGACCAATTTATTTAGGCTCAAGTCACGAGAAGCTGATGCTTCATGCCTCATTTTTATGGTAAATTCAGCAAGAAGTTGTATTTCTTATCTGGATGGGAAACCCTCTGAACAGCATGTATGACATCATGAGTCAAGCTGTACAAAACATTTCCTCCGTCTGTTTCCTCTCTGCATGTGTGTTCACTCACTTGTGTCCCGTCCTCTTTTCCTCTGCCGCCTCCTCCTCCTCCTCTGCACCTTACAGCACTGGCTGGGCAAAGTTTGCCTGTAAGTACTCGCTCACTTCAGTATCTGTCTGTCGCACTCACTTCCTGTTGCTGTGTCTTTGTTTACATTGTGTTCAGCGTTCACATTTCTTTTCCCCCACTTCCATAATATGTAACTGAGGTGTGTTCATCCCACACTTGTATCTTCATTTGTAAATCTAATGAAGAATAATAAAGAAACAGCGATGCAGAGTTTGCTCTAAATTAAAACATATTGTAAATTTATTTATACATTTTTCTAGCTCTATTAATGATATTTATTTATTATGATAAATGTAACATTGTGAGTTCTTGGTAACACACAGTTTTACAGTCAGTCTGTATTTTCCCAGATTTCACTTACGGGTTTCGGTTTCCTGGCAGTGAGAGAAAAGAGAAAAAGCATCATAGAGGAGCTCACTTCTCAGTTTACATTCCTGTGATTCCTGTCTGCTGTCGTCACTTTACTACGCTGACTCACGCTGATTGTCCTGTTCTTGTCCCTGTGTTTGGTTTATTTCTGGCCTGTCTTGTGCTGCTTAAAGACGAACCACCCTCCACTATCTGAAAGTGATTACACTCTTAGTCTTCCAAAGGTAAACACGCTGTAGTGGCTTCGCAGTTGCTTCATATAGTAGTTCTGCCGGCAGCCACGTTAAACAGACTGCTAACTAAATAACTAGCCAGCAGACTCATTTAGCAAAGACAAGCTGAAGCTAACTTGGTTTCTGCTAATCAAGCGTGTTAACACGAACTGAATAAGTTTGAGAGAAGTTTTAAAATGAGCAGCTGGTAACTTCCACCAAAAATCCTCGGATGCGGATGGCATCAACTTCAAACAATGCTCTCTACTGTCGCTAACCAAATAGACAGTGTCCAAGCAGGTAATTAAAGGAACACCCACAATCAGTACACTTCACTGAGTGCATGTGGGGAACAGGAATGCCTGCGCTAGTTGTGCTGTCACAGTGGAAAAGTGTGGCTAGCGTTGCTGGGTGTGTGAGGATCTTGTCAGCTTCATTCATAATCACCTGAGGATTAACAAGGTTTGGGCGTACACACTCAGCCGCTGTAGCCTGTTCACACACTCATGAACTCAGTGCTAGTTTTCATGCCCTCTAAAAATATCATAGGGGAAATCAGGGCTTGAGAAAACACAGGTGATGTAACTTGTGGTTTAGGGATTATGTTACATTAGAAAGTATCATTTCGACGGGGTGTTTATGCAAGCGCCCTACCTTTTGTCCTATGTTGCATAGTTCGCCTCAATACAGAATGCACCTCAAGTCTTAACATTGGGTTTTTTTTCTGTGTTTGCAGAACCTGAGGAGGAGCTCATCTGGCCGCCATGACGTCCTGCAGCCCTGCCAATGAAATTGCACCGATGTGTCACAAGGCTCAAGAGGCCGAAGAGTGGATCAATGACAGAGACACACGAAATTGAAGTGATTTTTTTCAAAAAGCAACATTTCTCAGCTTGTAAAACTTCGAGGATCAACTGGGTAAATGAATCATTTTGTCAGCAAAGGACTCTGGTCACTGTCTCTTTAACTGTTCTGAAAGCACCATGGTCCTTTAATCGCTGTCTTGTGTTATTTCAAAGCAAGACTCTTAAATTCTCCATTTCTTGCCATTGTCAGACTTTTTCTTCCTGAGACTGATGAATCTGTGTTTTCTGGGAAACCTTTTACAAACTTGTGTGTGTGCGTGTGTGTGTGTGTGTGTGTGCGTGTGTGTGTGTGTGTGTGTGTGTAACGTTATGCAGACTGAAGGAGGCAAACTGTGACTCGTTTTAAACCGACAGTCATCCCTGTTACATCTCACAGCTCAGATGGCTCTCTGGGAACTCAGTTCCTTCTGGTTAATTATGTGGAGAGACCAAAGATCTGACCCTCATCTAACCCAGTTCAGCTCATCCTTCTTTTCCAACCAGGTGTTCATGGTTGTGTTGTTGATTAACAGAAAGCGAAAGTATCCAGTTTACATTGTAAACTTCTCTGGAAGCACTGGCTGTTTCTCATATACATGTTTTTCTTAAAATGTGGCAGAGCGTCCTGATTGAATTGACTCTGCTGTATACCGGCACGCTACAAAATCAGTGATTATTTTGCACAGTGGGGGTAAATTTTTACTTTTGTTTGGTTCATGTGTCACTGTGTGTGTTTCATGGTGATGGAGGTGGTTTTTTTGCCGTAGAGTGCCTGTAGTGCTTGTTTTGCAAGCCTGACGCCGCTTCTCTTGCTATTTCTCTGGACTTGGTTGCTTGAGGAGAGGCGCCACATTTCACCTAATAACTCCACATATCATTTCAATGTTATGTTTTTCACAGTTTTGTGTATTTATTTTTCATTGTGTGTAGTCTCAACGCTGTAGTTACTCGTTGATCATTTAACAAAGTTCTCTTTATTTTCCTTGATTTCATTTTGCTGTCGTTGTCTGCTACGCACAAATGTGAGCACCTATATTTTTGTTATGACAATGCGTGCTGTTAATAATATCCTTGTAAATTTTACTGTACATAGAGTGTAACTGGAGATGTGTGGGAGATGACTTGGTCTCTTTTAATGAAAAAAGTTTGTGTTTTTGTACTAATGTGTTGGGATTGAATGAAAGCAGGATATCTGTTGAGAAAGAAGCTGCTGTTCACCTCTCACTCTCAGTAAAACTGTACGTTTGGTTGAGATACTTGAAAATTGTTTTTTGTAAAAACTTGTTTTATTATACTCTTTATTTATTTTTATGTAGTTTTGAATGACTGCTTGGAGCGAGAGGCACCTTATTATAATCTGAGGACTACGCATGAGAGGACAGTATGTTGTACAGTTGATTTTGCATCTGCTGGACCAATAAATTCACTCCGGGAAAATACACAGTGTTTGTTGTTTGATTATTGTCATTGGCTCAAATCCAACGTTAATATTCCTACCCTTTTGTATTTCCATTTATGGAGCTAATCTACAGAGTACACAGCCTGTACTGGAACTCCTGCCTTCGCTATCTCACCCATCCACAAGATTCATTAGTCACCAATGAGTTGCTTACCGCTTATCAGAGTAAGCGTGACTGGGTGCACTCAGGATGATGCTGTGAAATTACATCAGTGTGGATAATAAAATGATAAACCGTCTCTCTTCCGGCAAGAAGTTTTTGTAGTCTGAAATGTAGTGGTGATAACTTTAAAAAATCTTTTATAAAAGCAGGTACTATTAACAGATCACAAATTACAAATCTTGCTGTGACATTTGGTGTCTTTATCTCCCCCTCAGGATGTACAAACGTCAGTGATTCTCTGACTTTACATTTACCAAATCAGAATGAATTTGTCTGAGACATAATAACAGTCGGCTAGTTGCATTCCCATCTGCCCCTGCTATACTTTGTATTAATTGCTAGTTAGCAAATGTTAATGTTTGAGGCTAAAGTATGACGGTGAGCATTACCATACCATACAGTATACCTGCAAAACATCAACATGTTAGCATTGCTCATGTTAGCATTAGCTCAGAGCACCTGACTGAGTACAGCCTCAGAGAGCTGTTAACATGGCTGTACACTGTTGTTACTAGCATTTTAGCTTAGCTTAACCAAGACAAGGTTTATGTTAGTTGTGTTATGGTTGGCTATGTTTCCTCATTTTTCTTCCCCAAGAAAATACAAAATGGCAGTCTGAAACTTTTGGCTAGCTGATGCCCATCCCAGGTTTCATGGGACTGCTAATCAAAACAGCCTCGGTTCTGTGCTGCTCTGACCTGCTGCCACACTCCTGATTTGAATAGTGAATGAACTGAATAATGACTGAACCACACACATGAGCTGTGTTCAAATGTTATGTATCAATGGACCCAAAAGCATGTAGGCTAGAAGAGTGTGGATGTATCAAAGGTCAAAAAGCTTGAGAACCACTGAATTAAACTATTCAACTATTTTAACTTTATTCTGCCTCAGTGCCTCTCTTACAGTTTCCTCTGTTTTCTTGTTGAGTTTGATGATGAAGCAGCTTGTTTAAACATACCTCAACATTAAAATGCAAAAGTCTTATTGATGTTTGTCCCACTTTCCATAAGTAAATGATGTGATATTTTCATTGCTCCCTGCTTTGTGAATGTTTTTCCAAAGGGATTTGCTCCACTGCAGCTGTAATGAATACCAGGAGGAAACCATCTAACGCAATGAGTCTGCAAAACTTTTGAAATTATAATCCTGTATGTTTTAGTGTAGGGTATTTGCAAATTTCCTGAATTCCATTATGATTCATGGTCCTCTACAGATGATAACTAATGACTTCCTTTAGCACCATCCCTAGGTTAAAATTAGCGACATACTTTTTAAAAAATGCTTTAAACTTAAATCTAATTGATAATTCACATAAAAGACCCTCAGATAAGGTGAACATCTGCAGTTTTAGATGGTGCATACAGTGGCATGTAAGTTTTTTCTCTCTCACTCATTCACACACACCGACAACCATACACTCTCTCATTTGTCAGTCGAATGTGGTATTTCCTCCTGTCTGAATCATGGGCAGACTGAGTGTCTTGGCTCAGCCAGAGTGGCTATGTGACTGCTGTCAGGTTCACCACTGCTCTGCCTCACTGATACTCACTTACTCACTCACTCACCCACCCCCACACACACACACACACACACACACAAACACAAACTCACACACACTCACTGCCCCACAAACACACACACACACTCACAAACAGACAGAGAGATGATGCCCCTTACCCTAACCCTAAAACCAAGTCATAACCCTCAAACAGCCAGTTAAACTTGTGGGGTCCAGCATTTTGGTCCAAGTATAATGGGCTCCCAGTTTTTGGACCCCATGAATATAGTAAAACAAGGCCACACACGCACACACACACACACACACACACACACACACACACACACACACACACACACACACACACACACACACACTGATACACACTTGCATATGTGACTCCTGGCAGGTTTACCTTCTCCTTAGCACTCAACTAGTCACTGACACTGAGAAACCTACTTTGCATTCTAACTTTGCATATGGCTGTCGCTCACATTGAACCACTTTACCTATGCAAGTGTATTATTGTGAATAAGCAGAACTTTTGCATCACATAACCTCACATCCCAGCATTTTATTGTCCTTTTATTATGTTGTACTTGCATTTATCCCCCTCTTGTTGCACTCATAGATGTGAACTTGATAAAAGTGCTTTATAACTTTAATCACTGGTGGCTCAGCTGTCTATGTGGTGTGCTGGCAACTACTGCCTTAAGCATTCTTGCATCTGGCCTGGTGGTTATACTAGTGTGTGTGTGTGTGTGTGTTTGTGTGTGTGTAATCTCTGTGGGAGAGAGGAGCTGCTGCGTCAGGCATAATGGTACATGGACAGGCAGCTCTAAGCCAGCAGCTCCACAAATAGCTGCCTAATGCTATGCTGATGAAGGATTGTGTGCGTTCCCAATCAGCCAGGTTAAAATACAAACAGAGTAATGGGGACTGCCCCAGTTGGTCAATTGAGATCAGTCTACCTAAAACTTACTTCAACATGGACATTTGTGTTTAGCAAAAAAAACAAAAAACAAAGGCTTAGTGACACTTCACTCCTTTCTTGACTGATTCATCATCACCAGGGGACCAGGTGTAATGTCTCACAGTCTATTCTTGTCGCTCTTATCAAGACTCAGCAGCTCGTCTTCTACCTGATTAGCTCTACCTTATTAGCTCATCATGTGTCCCAGTCCCATTTGTGCTCAAAGTATCTTATCTTATCTACGTACCCATTGCATGCATGTACAGACACACGTATGTAAACATGATCTTTTTAACTTATATATGACAGAAAAATACACACATTCATGGCAGTCTAAATCAGTGATTTCAATTAGGGGTACTTAAACAGTTACAGATAAACAATTAGCCACAATGTTTAGCTAACTTAAGTTGAAATAGTTAGCTGAAAGTAATGGCTACATGCTCAAGCTCAAAGCAAGGAATAAATTGTTGAAATAGCTATACGTCATGGCTAATGGTTGAAATAGCTAAAGGTAATAAATAAATGGGTGAAACAGCTTATAGATAAACACTCAGTTAAAAGTGATGGCTAAAATGGTTGAAATAGATAAAAACTGTCCTAAACATTGACACTTTGTTATCTGTAAAAGTAACAATATCCACTTATATCATTAATGGTAACTGTAAGGCTTGGTCTGACAAGAAAGACTGGGGATCGTTGACCTACAAAGATATCTGTGAACCTGCATTGCATAACTGTCAGTAAAGACGTATTTATGTTTTTATGACTGTTGCACATCAGTAATCACGTTTGCTTGTAAAGACAAAACAACGTCACACACTCAGGCCCTTGAGTGGAAGTTTACTGGTTCAAACCCCTGAAAAGTCATTTACAACAGGACTGAGCTGCCCTCCTGAGACCCCGCTGCTATTTACCTCCAAAGTGACCAAACCGGTCTGAGACAACAGACATACCCCTCTATAAACCTATATTTAATCCATGATTTCTTTTTCATGATGTAGTCTTTATCAAATTTAGTTGGCCTTTTCTTGTAAAGTTTGGATTCAGTTACTGTCTCTTATCAGGTCTTTACCATCATTAATGCCTTTAAGCCAATCACAATGCTTGTATAGATGCTCAGCAGTTGTCTATGAAGGCTATACTGAGCACATTGGCTGAGCTTTATTGTTTATGAATTGTATGAATATGAAGCAGTGTTTTACTACGAAAGACTACACACACATGCTCAAGTTGACCTTGTGTTTTTTGTTTCTGTTTTGTAAGGAATGCATTACCTCGCGGTGGAGTGAAAACTCATCCTTTTCTCTTTGTGCAGAGGCCATTGATGGGGAGATTTTGCACTGAATGGAGAGGATAAGTCATTCAGCGAGCCTTGAATGGAGCAGAACAGATTAAATAGACCATGTGTTATCCCTGATTACACTGGTGCTGAAATAACAACCCTTTTACGTGATCCTCTGCATAGCTCCATTGCTGTAACAGAAATAGTCTTACAACAGTGAGTCAGACAAAATGTTTTGTTTTGTGTCACATTTATCATGGATATCACAGACTGCATCTCTCTTTTTTTTTGCGACTTTTCAATGCTTTAATAATATGACAGCTGAGTGCTGGCTTTCAGCTTTAGAACAGTAAGGTGGAGAGTTTGTTTTTGTTTTGCTATGAGTCGACTGCATGATCTTTAAAGTCAGAATGAAACTATACTATACTTTTTTTTGTATGACATGAACAGAAAGTTTCACACATCCTGTCTTCATCTTACATCCTCTACTCACTGTCATGTGTTTTCAAAAGAAATAATCCCCTCTACTGTACTTTTTCTTGTTTTCCCTTGACTTTGAAAAAATACCATAAAATACTGGTTGCACTTTAGAAATGGCTGTATTTTAAATGTTTGAAATACGAATAATGAGGCGTTTTTGCACTATTGTAGTTTGTGTGTGAAGGCCTGAAGGAACGCTTTTGTAAGTGTACAATCTCCTGTGTGTTTGTTTTATAGGTGTGGCTTTGAATGTCTAGCTAACTATCAGCTACAAAACAGGAAGTTACAATGACATTTAAAAGAGAATAAGGAGCTAACAAGATAATAGTTCATCTCTATCCCTCAAGGATGTGTTCTCTGTTCACTTACTAGTCATCTTCTGTGTATTCTG